GCCCCTATCAATTATGCATTCAGATTCCCCCGATAGCTTGTCAGTTTTTATTCACTATTTTCTGAAAAATACGCCTATTACAGTTACTGAGCAAATAGGAGGACTGTCAGAAACTGAGATTTAAAGAATATTACTTAAAAGGGGTGGGTTTCTTTAATTTATAAATCTTGTATTATATGTCATGCATTTGTTAGTTTTAAAGAAGGTGACAGTGCAGGGACAGATGTCACATTAAGGACTTTCTGAAGACAAGGGGGAAAGTCTCCTTAAGAAAGCTCTGTGATTTATTCAACTTTTCTTGAAAGAAAAGTGTTCTGTGGTCTGCAGATGTAGTAAAAATGTATCAGTTCTGTTAGTTTAATAGGAACTTGACTTTGTGTCTCTAAATTGATATGTATCTATAAAGAACTTAACAGTTTACAAGGTGAAAATACTTTTGTTTTCTTTTCTGGCATTGGAAACACTTTTTCAGCCAGCAATGTGGTAGTGTGTTCTAGAATCAGCTCCATCTTTAGAGTCATCATTAGTGGTAAATAAGACGTATGAATAGATGTAGTGAGTGAAGCACACAAATTGCCCCATTCAGTGATGTACCAAGGAACTGTGGAGCAGTTTTTGCCAGCAACTTAAAAATTACCTTGGTGTCACTGTGGGATGCAAGACAAGTCCAGCCTACCTTATTCATACATACTATACTGTTTGAATGATCCTGTGAGGGCACTTCCTTTAGGATAAAAGTGCTCTTTGGAGACAAATCTCCAGATTTCTCCACCTACCACTCTTTGGCTCACATTGTTGTGCAGTCTCGGAGGTGACAGTCAGGACTCCTTTCTGTGGGAATAGCCTGGGCAATAGAAGCTGCGGGACAGGGCAACATTTTTCAATCATGAATGGGCATTCAGAGTAGGATGATGGTAGAAATGGTCTGGAAACAGGACAGCCTGCTAGTCCTTTCCTGTCAAACCAGTAGGTGGACTGAGGTTTATCCCTGGGAAGTTGGAGATCCTGTCCAAATCACAGACCACTCAACTTGTTTTCTCAGGTTTACTACAAACATATTTAATGAAAATAATAGATCTTGACACTAATTGTCACAATCCTCATTTCTTAATGCTTGAAACCCGACTGTGGTTGCACTCATTCCCTGCCACTGACCACTGACCAAGGGAAGTCCCTCTTTTTCCACCCTCTGGCTGCATCTCCCTTGCTCTGAGAAAATCCACTTCAGGTTGTCCTCCTCTTCCTCATTGTCTTCCAACAAATTATCTCCCTCCTATCCTACTTCTAGAGCATGTAACCTGATTTCATGTCCTGTTATACCACTCTCTATGCTGCCAGGCTTTCCCTACACCTTTCTTTTAGGAGTGTGTTTTTTCACCTAGGCCTTTAAGTGTGGAAAAAAACTTTAGAGAAATTAAAAAAAAGCAGGGGGAGGAAGCCTCAGAAGTGCTAATGTTGCCGTTTTATCTTATCTGATATTCTGTGTGTGGGATTTGCCTCTCTCTGGGTGAGCCCAAAAATGCATTCCTTCTGGTGTAAGTGGGGTTTAAGATGACTACAGGATGAGAGAGTTGGGGTTTTTCAGCCTGGAGAAGAGAAGGCTCCAGGGAAACTGTATAGCACCTTGCAGTACCTACAGGGGACTACAGGAGAGCTGAAAAGGGACTTTTTTGCAAGGGCGTGTAGTGATAGGACAAGGGGGAATAGCTTTGAACTGAAAGGGGGTAGCTTCAGATTAGATATTGAGAAGGAATTCTTTACTGTGAGGGTGGTGAGGCACTGGAACGGGTTGCCCAAAGAAGTTGTGGATGTTTCATCCCTGGCAGTGAATTCAAGGCCAGATTGGATGGGGCTTTGAGCGACCTGGTCTAGTGGGAGGTGTCGCTGCCATGGCAGGGGGATTGGAACTAGATGATCTTTAAGGTCTCTTCCAACCCGAACCAATTTGATTCTGTGATTAAGGATTTAAGGACACCGGTGGTAGGCCCAGACTCTCCAGCAGCATTCTGGGCCCTCTTACTTTGTCCTCACTGCAATGAGTTTAGTGCAGTCACCAGCCTCTAGCCAGTGACTTTACTGGGCCCTTCTCTTCTAGAGGGGTTTCCAACCCAGCTCTCACCATGCCACGACTTCTCCCCCACTGGAAAGTTCAGCAGGATAAGCATCATTCTTTTTGCATAGTTCAGTCCTGGGGAGCCCTGAGAGCAACTCATACTGTTTTGGAGAAAGCCATCTCCCCTTCCTGGTAGGTCTGAATGGAGGGGATCTCTTTTGATGGTCATGTTTTCACATTATATAGGAAGTAGAACCAAACCCTCAGGTCTCACCTTGGCAAAGTCCTCCCTTGCTCCAATACAGGGGGTAACTGAGGCTTCGTTTTTTTTTTCTTCATCCACTCCTGAGCCTGTGCTGCTTTTCAGTTCTGCCCAACTATTTCAATAATTAATGAAGACTGAACTCTTACCTATTAAACAAACTTGTTCTTCCTCCCCTACAAATTCACCCACCCTTGCAAAGTGCTTCTGCTTTACAATGGGTTGTACCTTCCCTTTCCTCTGTCTCTTTGAAGATTTTGCTCTTTGTTCGGTGAAGTTCCCCAGTTCCAGGAACATGTACCACATTACCTAAATCATCCGGTGTTTATTTTAGCCTGACGGTGTTAATGAGGCTTAGCTATGTTACAGCATTTAAAATCTTTGTAGTATCTTAAACATATTGTATCTTAAAGTATTCCCTTCAGGTATGTAAGTATTATCCAAATCATATAAATGGAGAAGTAAAAACAAATGTTTAGGGATTTGCCTGAGGCCATGCAATAAGTCTGTGTCAGAGCCAAGAGTCAAACCCACCTATTTGTGGTGAGTCAGCCCACGCTGGCATGGCTTGGTGTGTTCCTGCCATGGAAATCAGCCAATTATTCACTGTGCGTAGTATTCATTTCAATCATTTCATAAACTGGCTCTAGTAGTTGCATTCCCTTTAATAACAACTTTCCCAGAAAAGCTTTAGCTTGCCTAGCTCCGTATACTTCCTATACACCTACATAGGGAGTAGCATATGGTATCTGTGGCTAGCATAGTTGCTCTTTTTCCTTGTGTTTTGTTTTTTCCTCAAACAGGCCAGAAATGAAGTGGAAGTAGAAAAGCCTCAAAGACTCTGTTCCTAAAGGGTTGCAAAGATTTCCTGTGTTTGCCCTTGAAATTAAAAAGTATCTGGACAAACATTTACCTTGTGGGGTTGAATAGGAGTTCATGCTCCATAATTTTCCTTCCTCTACTTTTTAAGAATTCAGTAAGGCTCCTAAGGAAGTGTGCTTTTGAAAGGTAGAAAAACATACAGGGAGCAAATATGTTTGAGAACATTAATGCTGGGAGTCAGTAATTCAAAAAGTGATGAAATAGTAAAGTGACAAGACCTGGCCTGAACATCTAAAACTTTGATGATATTTGGCAGAGAAAATGAGACCAATTAAAGGATGCCTCTGGGAAGCTTTACCTTGCATGACCAGAACTTCTACACAACAACTCGGTGCACTCTGTGCTTTTGCAGGGATAATACTCATGTGAATATGAATGGTTTTGCCAGTATGTTAGTCATCTGCAGGATTTTAGTCTGCACTTGGTTTGGATGCGTTTCTGTTACACCTTTTGTTTCCTGAGAAGACCTTGTGGTAGTCTGCAGTTCAGCCTGACCCTGTGCTGTTGTCTCAGTTCCCCTTTCATGGTGTTTTGAGGTATTAGTAGAGTGCAGGATCCTCTCTTCTACACTTGCTTTCTTGAACTTCCCCATTTAAAGCTGAAGTGCCTGGGGGCCACTGGTTGGTGTTTGATAACACTCTACACTAGCAGCTTTCTCTTAAGTGTTTTCCTTGACCAGCAGCCTGCAGATTATAGAATAGCACTCACAAAAAAAGAATAAAATTGATACATCTTTTAAACTCTAGAGTCAAAGGCACAGTAAAACACTACTGGATAGCACCAAGATATTTTCCCTCTTCCTAAAAAACAGTGTAAATACAAAGAGTAGCATAAAAGAATCTAGAGAAAGAAGAAATGTAGTCAGATAATAAATGAATTAATTTGTTTACAAAAACCCCAAAGCTTATAGGTAATGCTATGTTTTGGGACACAAAGACAAAGCAGTTCTTGGATTGGGAAAAAAAAACACAGAGACCTCTTCAGACAGCCTCTGTTTATTGTGGACTATAATCCATAGTGGGGAATAGAGCTTATTTGAGAGGCATCTGAAGAAGAGTATGGGGAGAAAACAAAGTAATAGTGCCTCTGCATATCATTTTAGAGACACTTGAGCCAGATGGAGTTTTTTTCCATACATCTCATCACCTAAACTATTCAGGCATGAGGCATTGTTAAAATCAGAGCTCCTGATATGTGATACTGTGTTGATTGATCATTTTGACCTAATTTAAGCTCATACTTTAAGGAGAAAAGCATTTTGAGGAGTTTAGAGACTACAAACTTCAGGTTGGAAACATGCTTCATTTTTTCTCTGGCTGATGTCCACCTCTGCACATGCTGACAGACAGATGTTTTCCCACATGACTTCTGGTTTTATGTGATCATATGTGTGCCTGACAGGCAGAGTCATCAACTTATTTGCAATTTATTAGTTTTCTATTGCAAAACAGTGTTTTGTAAAAGTGGATATCCCACTGAAAAGATCTATTTCTATTCCAGTTTCTATTCCTTTGAAAAATAAAAGAAATAATTAAAAAGAAAGAAAAAAAAAAAGGAGCGGGTGTAGAATGGGACTTCCTATGCACAGGTTTTGTCTGATAGAAAAGAATATTCACAGGTAGGGCCATGTTCTATTATTGTTTTAATTGTTAATTTCATACAGTTGTTTTAGAGTTCATCATTTCAGTGATGAAATTACTGAATTACTCAAGGAGAATACTCACAATAACAATTCACAGAGAAAAATCTTAAAAGAACAGATTAGAAGGATGAAGAAAATTATTAGTTAAGAGAATCTGAAAATTTTCCAACAATGGAAGTACTTAAAGAATACTTGGTGAGAATCTACAAGTATCTGAAAATTTGAATTCTGGAAGGTTTAAAAACTAACACAGCTTGGTGTCAAGGTGACCAAACAATGTTAAATTAGAGAAGCTCATAGAAGTCTAAAGTTCCTGAAACTCAAGCAAAGATGTGCTTGAACAGTGAGATTGTTTCAAATATGAAATATTTTATAAAATAATTGTAGAAATTATATGGATTGCAGCACTTGTAAGAAAGGGAGTACGCTACCAGATTGGAGTATATTAAAGATGGTGAATGTACTATTCCTCATCTTTACACACTGACCTTGTTTCTGTGTTCAGAAACCATATAGAGAGTTGTTGAGTTGGTCAATAAACTAATCCAGCCATCAATAAAGCACACCTTCTTGTTTATTAATATGTGATTAAAAATGTATATGATAAAAAGATATTGACTGAGCAAAGTTTGGGTGACAAGAACAATTATAGCTTCAAGCCTAATCAGTACATGAGCTGTTTAACCCAGTGAAAGTCAATAGCCTATTTCTGAACAATTACACATTTTGTTTTAAATAAAGTATTTGGAATTTGCTAGTGCTCTCATTTTCTCTTCATGATTTAGACATGAACACAGAAGCAGAGAGAAACAACCACAAAATAAATCACCCAATATAATTCCACTTTGCGGTTCTTGTATGATAAATTGGTAAATATGCAGCAAATAGGATTTGTTTTAATTAAAACTTGATAGCCACAAATAAATTAAACTTGGAATAAGTATGTCTTTCTTTTCAGTTTTATTACTAATTGCATAGGTCTTAATCATATTTCTACAATGTCCTGATTTACTTATTCTTAAATATTTCTGTTGTTATTTCAAACTAAATTCATAATTTTACAGCATCCAAAGTGTTCCGTCTTGATTTCATTAAAGCAGTTTCTTAAACTTAATAAGAAATTATAATAAAAATCTATTTAATTCCTCCTTGAGTGATCTTTAGCTTTTACAAAGTTTTCTAACAGCTCAATGCATCCTTGGTTCCAAAGCAACAATATTCCACAGAGCTCGATGTCTAATGAAAAGTCGACAGCAATACCAAAAAGTTTGAACTGGGTGCATCTTTAAACACCAAAATATTCCAGTATAGTGGGCATTAAGTACAAACTGATTGCTGGTGAATGCTCAGACATTCCTGAGCGAGAACACAGGGTCACTGGCTTGTCCCCACAGTGTTAAAAATTAACTGTGGGTGCAAAGCAAGCAGAGTCAAATGGCTGGGCTATCCGCAAGCAGAACTTTTAGTGTTTTTAGCACTGGTTTGTTGCATCAACATTGAAGATCCAGTTAAATCAATGGTACTCCCCACAGTGTTTGCAAATTGTAAATCTTGTAAGCGGCAGATCAGAAAGCTCCTTATCTATTCCATAAGTATCATGTTCATCAAGCAGTTATACTGACTAGCATTTCCACAGATACTTTTCTTACCTGCTAATCTTCTTAATTCCTTTGCAAGAATAAAATGATAAAGACATCAGAAACAAAATCTTTTGAGTTAAAGCTAACACAGTTCCCTAATTCATTCTTCCCAAATCTGTCTGATTTTGGTGAATGTAAAATTCACCTTGTTTTTGATTGCTGCTATACAAAGTTGTTTTTTCACGAGGAAGAACAAATGAATAAGAGAGAAATATGCCATTGCACTCACATAGCCTTGAAAGTTTTGGCTTCTTAGAAATGTTGACACTATAAACACTCTTTTCTGAGTACCTTCATATTAATATATCACTTCTGATCCAACAGTAAGTAAAAGTCAATCATCTTTTTCCTGACTGAAACAAGAGTCACTGCTTGACTCCTAGAAACCAGAGTAAGTCCTCCAGGAGGTCATTTCCACTTGATTATGGTGTAGTTCCAGTATTTTTCCTGGTTGTGTCTGACTTTGGCTAGTGAGGAAGTTGCAGACTGGTGCAGATGGACCATTGGTACAATCCCAGCATGGTACCTGGTGGTCAACAAGAAAAGTTTTCATGTTCTGATGTCTTGTGAAAGAATACTCACAGAGTCAGCTTTGGTTTGTTTTGCCTGGTGATGTCTGAAGCTTAAAAAAGCTCGAGGATGCTTGTCCAGCAATTGAGGACTTCCTATTTTAAAAAATTCCTCTTTGGATGGTACAGTCAGTGCCTCAGTAGTATGTGTGAGGGTGCAGCAGCTGTGAGTAAAGGGATTGCCCCAAAAGACAAGCTGGGACATCTGAGATAAGAGTGTTGCCCCAAGTTGCCTTCAGGAGAAGACATCTCTGTAGTTGAACAATAGAGCTTAGGGAAGTCAGCCCCAGCAGCCTGATCACCTGTGGAGCTTACAGGTCATAACATCTCTGCAGGATGAGCCAAGTACAGTAGGAAAGGTCTGAATCTCTTTTATCTGTGGCACTGATACATCTGAGCAATTCCTGATACATTCTAATCTGAACAAAGAGCTGGGTTTTATATCCATCTGTTTCAAGATGAATGAGAGTTTCTAAATCAAGGGTGGGGAGGATATAAATATGCATGGAAGGAAACTTATTCCTGAAGAGAGGATCCATTGCATTTCAGATTAATAGGTGTAACTCTTCCACTACAATGCTGTATTGTCAAACAGTAAAAAAAGATACTGTGGGAGGCAAATTTATTAGGCTAAAAGTCTGTTTTTCTGAGTTTAAACTTACCCATCTGCTTATCTTCAAATAGACTGTGAATACAGCATTGCTGATAATATGTTCTGTTCCAGTCCTTGATTCAGTCACATGCTTAAAAATATTAGTTCATTTCAGAATGTTGGTACATTTATGACTCTAATTAAATATGTATACTTTAGATCTTTATTCTTCCACTAAATAAAACAGGAGTTTGATTCATTTTAGATTTCATTTATTTGTAATGCTCTTCCACAGCTTTTCAAATTAATACTCTGGCATTAGCTGTGTGATTCTCAGTATTTAGGAAAAGCTCACCTGCAAAGCAAATACCCAAGGCGTGTTGATTCATTAGGAAGGTGAATTGAAAAAACTGTGTAGTTACTAAAAAAATACATATTTTTCAGGTGAAGATGACTTACAAAATCATTAAAATACGATCATGTTGAGGACTTGTATGATGACTAGGAATTAATTTCTATTTTTATTCATCTCAGCACCTTTACTTATCAGTGTGTTTGATCTTCAGCATCAGGCCCTTAAATGCATTTCTCCACCCTTTACCTTCTTCATCATCATCACTCATTTTGTCTGTGCAGAAGATGGTGGCTTACTGGGCTTTCTACACAATGTTATCCTGACTCATATACTCTATATAGGACAAAATATTAGTATGTCTTTTGCAATGAAAGTGTGCAGTGTCTGCTTTTACAGGAGTTTCCATTACATAGTGAGAGTTAAAATATAAAGAATTTTCAATTCTGTAATTGTCAATACATTTTATTATGGATATTTAGTTTAAAAGCTATTCAGGTTTTTGAAGGGAAAGCTAAACTAATCTGCAAACTTAATAAGACTCACAGGTTAGAGCTGCCAGTTCTCAAGCACTTAGCACTTCTCTGCTAAGTGTCACAACTAAATGCTCTTCATTCTCATAATGGTGGAGTAACCCTGGGGAAAAAAAAAAGGAAAAGGGAAAAACCACCCTGTGAAAGTGGTTTAAACACTGTACCTCTTCTTGACAAGTTGAATTCAGTGAGAGACCAGCACTCATCTGCCTTTAGAGAGCTGGCTCTGCCTGTGCACAGTTAGACTGGATGCCTCACTTCTGTTTATGTCTTTGCATACCTTCCCCAGGAGTGAGGCCATGCAGCAGGCCCAGAATATCTTCCTCATCTTCAATTTACTTTCCCAGACCACTCTGCCATTCCCTTCCTATCTATTGGTGATATGCATGAGTGAGTAGGGAGTTTTTAAATGAGTGTGACAAAGATGGACCAGCCACTGCAAGCAGGAAGAGTCAACCTCATACCCAGAAAATTAGAATAAACTTTCATTTTACTCCTCTCTCTAAATGCATGCTAGGGGTGTCCAAGTCAGTTATATCATCAGTGTATTTATGAATAAACCCTGTATCTATAAAATATCGCAGTGCTATGGCAATGAGTGCTAACCTTATACTCAAATGATTTATTGTGACCACCCCTACTGTTGTTTTGGGGCCTTTCACATTACATAGAGATACAGTCAGATTGCTGTACTTCAAAGTGAGTACATACTTTTATATAATGATCTATTCATTCACGATTGAATTATAGCCATCTCAGGGGTGGGATGATATAGGATTATCATCACAAGCAATAGCGAAGCTTTATTGACATGAATACTAGCTCTTTGCCTTGGTCAGATGCACTGAGAAAGGCTTTTTTTTTTCTGTTCTACTATCATTGGCCATTGTGAGAGGAATCCAGCTCTGCAAATAGGCTGATAATGTAGGGCATATATATATACAGCAGCAAATGTACTGTTTCCATGTTTTCCATGACTTTTGTACTACATCTTGAAATTGTTTGCTTTGGTTTTATCAATGATACTAAGAGAGATGTGGATGTCACACCTAAAAAACTGTCATCTCTGATACAAAAAAATTTACTGTTATCTGGGTCAAATTCATTTTCTAAGCAGCCAGATGGCCACCTTTACATTGTATAGTTAAGATTATATTAGTTGTTCTGTCTTGTATGTTGGTATAAAAGTGATGGACTCGGAAGCATAAGTTGCTTTATTAACAAATCCAAGAACAGTACCTACTGTGAACAAGAACAAGGCAGAGAGTCTTTTCTCCAGCAGGTCAGTTTTGTTATGCTTGGTTTTGAAATAAGCTCTCTCTTTTATGCACTGGGTACTTCACATATTTGAGGTCTCTAGAAAGCATTAAGCAATTTACTCTCTAACATTTCAATCAAGCCTGTGGTTTGTTAGAAAAGCAGAGAGTTTGGCTGTGGTGGTAAAGGCGATGCTGAAGAGGTCCTTGGCTCAGAGGAAATGGCACTTTATTTGTTACAAGTTACTACTCCAAATAATGATGACTGCTGAACGCTTCAGCACTCTGAGGCTATCTTTATATCTGCTCTCTTACAGTCTCTGTGTAACTAAAAACAGGATGAGTTTTCTCTTTTTGCAATTGCATGAATTTATCCCATTTGTTCAAGTTATTGGAGGTACAATTTTACAGTGCCACCGTGGTTATTTCTGGGCGAAAACGAGATGCTGAACTGCGAGTCTATTCTGAATGTGAAACAAAGTAGAAGTAGCAAATTATTGTCTCACTGTCTTGGATCAGTGAATGAATTTTAATCCACAGCTAAGCAGACAGTTAATTTGGCTGTTTCAGTGAATGCAATGACTGCTTGACTCCAGGCCAAGGATCCTCCGACCGAGGTCAGGACCATGCCTGGTGAGGGCACTTCATGTCTCTGACTAAAAGGAAGAGATTCTGGAGTTCTTCTGTGTTGTGACACGGAAAACAGAACTTTAAAAGTTTAAGAGAAGGGGGTTTTTTCTTGTTTGTTTAAATCCAGCGCCATATAGGGAGATCTGGGTTGTTAATGTTGTATCCATCCACCTGAAATAATTTGAAGATTTTAGTCCTGTTCCCAATGAATAGGTGCCAGTGCTACCAACTAAAAAAGCAGTTAAACATGTGCTTATTGAGGAAAAAAAAAGTCAGAGAGTATTTTTACTCTCCTGTTTGATCACCCTTTTGCTATTTGGCTTAACTTTGGTAGGACAGCGGTGTTAGCTGTGTCATACCTGATCAGCAGATGACCTGAAATATTGTCTAAAAGGTATCAATCTGCTACCTGTCATAAGAGCTCAACTCCCTAAAAAATAAAAAACCCATTTGTTGAAATAAGTGAGATATTACTATTACCCCTGAATTTGCAGTGGGCCTGAATGAAACAGAAAATCAAGGAAAGAAATTTGATAAGGAATGAAAAATCAAATAACCAAGGCAAAAACATATTTTAATGGAAATTAAAAAGAACAGCAATAAATTAAGCAGAGGATAAACCTTGTGTAGCCATATAATATTTTACACACACACACACACAAATAAAAAGAGTATTACAGACTCTATAAACATTTAAAGCCAGTAGGAAGCAGTAGGAAGCAGTAGGAAGTGAGAAAATGAGAGCTAACCACACTGCTCAGTACCAATCCCTTGTGCACATGCTTTATCATACAGTCTTTAATTACACCATTATGTACAAGGAGATGATGAAGAATTTTCCAGGAAAAAAAAAGTTTTCCTCAAAATCACACTATGTAGTGGAAAAAATGTCAAAAAACAAAGGTAAAGAGACTGTGCAGTAACCAAAAGGCAAGGCACTATGGCATATACCTGACACGAAGTGTCCCACATACAAGTGCTTTCAGCGGTAGAGACACACACTTTGGTCTCTTACGGGTCATCACCTTGTTTCCATGTTCTGTGGTACCCTGGGCTTGATCCTCTCTTCTTTTTCTCCCTCTCCTTCCCCCTTTTCATGAATAACTTTACAAAGCCTTTGTTTCATCTGCTCTTGTGCAATGGTAAATGAATGCAATTTGACAGGGCAGTGGGGCTTTTCTGCTTGATCTTGTTCACAAGCACCCCTTTGGCATGCAGAGTAGGTAGTTTGGCATGGGCAAAGCTTTCTTCAGGAGTTGGCTTACAGCGTTAAACTTACCTATATCTGGGGCCACATCTGGGACACACAAATCCTAATCTGAACCCAACACTCCTGTGCTTTTCCTGTTCTTCTCCCCACCAGGCTATAGCATCCATGTGCTTATCTTTTACAGCCTGAAATTGAGGGGATAAGATCATCCTATGCTTTGTAATAAATCTGTATTCCAAACAAATGAGATTAAAGTAAAAAATGCCTGCTAATTTTGGGTATCCAACTAGAGATACTGTCTACTTGATTTTTCAACCTGATTGGCATTCTGCATCACTTAGCATAGTCAATGCAGAGTCCCATGGATTTTATCTGAGGTAGTGAGTGATTCACTTCAGCCTACCAGACTCCAAAATTTCAAGATGGTCCCTCCTCATATGAAAATCTCAGTTAATCATTACCTCTTGAGGCAACTTTCCCCACATTGCAGAACCTTTGAGGTGACAGGGGAATGGAAGCAAACTCAGCAGGTAAAATTCAGCTACTGCTTTGCCACAAAGCCCTGTTTTCTCCCTTGTAATTCTCCACCTTCTATATGATCCGTACCCAGTTCTGCGACAAATGAGACAGGAATCTAGTGAATAAAATCTATAAAGTACTGATCTGTTCCCAGAGGAAGGGTACCTTGCAGGGTTTAGTTTCTGCTTCAGGAAATTTGTAGAATATAGTCTGTGCGGTCATGTATCATAAGGTATAGAGGCTGAATTGAGGTGCTCTGAAACCCTCAGGTTAGTCATCTCCGTAACATCCCTGATGTTGTGGCTAGTGTTGAATATGTAACACATTTCCTTAGTTTGGTGGTGACACACACACCAAAAAATCAAAATACGTTTTGAATCAGCTAGGAAATAAGTTTCTTAAAGATCATTAAGTTATTTTTTAGCATTAGAAAGCAGGCTCTGTTCCAAATGAAAAGCATTAATTATGTAGCTGTACTGCATCAACTGAAAATCGGGGGGGGGGGAACAATTTGACTTTGAGAATTTCTACCATGTTCCAAATTAAATTCAGGCCAGCTACTCTGGACATCCTGCAATTAAGCATCCTTGCTCTTGGCTGACAACATTAGTCGGTTTTGCTAGCCTTGCCCTCCCATCTCCCCTCCAGGTTCCTCAACCAAGCAGTTTCTCTCTGCTCTCTCTGCACAACCTCTGTGTCTCCTTACCTAATCAGTCCCAGGCTCCTGCCTCCAAACACTAGTCCCAGTTTTTCTCTCCGGACTGCTTGGTTGCTTCTGTTGCCTGCTCTGTCACAGGCTGGATGGGTTTTTTCTCTGTGTTGTATTCATGCAGAGACCTTTCTTCTTGCAACAACCTTCAAATCGTTTGGAGCTTAGAAGAGATAGGATTCCTACCTCTCAGATTCTGCGCCAAAGCTCAGGCTCATGGGGAAAATTTGGAGGTGAGGATTAAAGTGGAAATCTAGCCTCACCACTGTATCCTAAAGCTTCTGTTTGCAGAGAGGGCCAATCTGTAGCAATTCCTTTTCCCGACTAAAATGAATCATTACTGGGCATCTGTTCATGACACATTTCTAATACTTATAAGTTAACCACATTTGGATACATTTTCAGACAGAGAGGGAAAGGCATATTTTGAATGAAAAAGGTCACATTTTGAGACTGTGCTTCAAAGCCTGAGGGCAGCAGAGCATTTCAAAGGAAAAAAGTTTCCATTTTAGTACGAGCAAAACTGTTTATTTTTCCATAACCTTGTTCTTGGAAATGGACAAATTGTTTTGGCAGGTATTTTCAAAATAATCTGCGCGGTACAGACAGTCAGCATATCAGTTTTCAGCCTAAGTGATGATGTTTTTTCCAAAGCTACATGCAACAGAAAATACGATCTCTGCTGAGAAATGTTTGCCAACCCCAATACAGGGAATGGCAGCACGTCCACCTTAGAATATATATTATCACAGATTACATCCTCAGGATTTCTGATTTTCCTCAAACACCAATTGCCTCATGGAAAGGCAATAGGGTCAGTGACTCTTACTTCCCTATTTTAGAGGCAGAGAAACTAAAACAAGAGGAAAGGGGAAAAAAACAGGGATGGAATAAAAAAATCCTGATCTGCTCCCCATTTATGCATCTGTTGCTGCCACCTCTGAGGGCTGTTATTTGTGCAATGCTCCTCCAGTCTGGAGTATTGCAGTTATTCTTTACGCTGCACAGACACGCAAATCAGAGATAGCATCCCTTGTGTAATTACTGTGATTTAACTCTCTGTGATCGAAAGTTTGGGGGGGGCTATAAAAGAGGGCACAGCGGGTGCAGGAGATATTTTCAAATAATAGTTTAATTCAGCCAAGAACAACCAGCCTCCCACATTCAGCTTGTGAATCTGTTCAGTAAAATAAAACTAAATTCAAATATTTCTGAGGCACTTGATGAAACTCATGGGCAACGCCTTGTGGAAAAGAGAGGCGTGAGGGGAAAGCTGTGGTAGGGCTCCACTGAGGCAGATTAGGTTGCTGATGTGACCCATTGGGTGATGGCCACTGCCTTTGCTGTTGCTCCAAGTTCTCTGGCTGGGGTGAATCCCAGGAAAGGCACAGTCCAGAGGTGCTGGAGGCCTGAGGTAGACAAGCTGAGTAAAAGTTCATGCCACTGTCTGGCTCACTTTGGAAAGTAATAAACATAGTTAAGTGTTAACAGTAAGCGATGAGATAGCCCCATGCAAACTGAGAACCTCTGCTAAAAACCACCCCAATAGCAACAACAAATTCCTTAGCTTAAACTGTGGCTCTCTTCAGAGGAGAAAAAAAAAAAAGAAAAAAAAAAGAAAAAAAAAAGAAAAAGAAAAGAAAGAATTGCCAAATCAAACTGCTGACTCCTTTTTTCTTATCAAAACACTACAGCATACATCTTAACAGCCTGAAGTAAATCAAATGCAGGACCAGCTGGAACTGGCCAGCTCTTGACCCTTCCTTGATATCAGGTGTGTACCGCACTTCTCTGGCAGATTAATTTATGATCTAAAGTAACTCAGAGCCCCTAAAACTTTCAATATGGCTGTTAGGACAAGGCTGAAGGTTTTCTTTGGAAAGTGTCACTACTAGAAGAAGTTGGAGTTCTTCCCACTCGACAAAGATACTCCCTTACTAATGTCAGATGACTTTGTTCCCTCTATATCTATTGTTTTTAAATTCACCCACAATGCCACTATGGGACAAAATTCAAATGTATGGCCAAAGCCTGCTGGTGTGCATCTGAATGACTATCAGTCCCCTTTTGCATGTGGAGCTTTCTCTTGGGGGGATTTATAAATGCGTTCCTGAAGAAACCTTTCAGCTTGAGAAAAAGTTAGGAGAAGATCTGGGAGAAGTTACGCAGAGTGCACTGAATTAAGAGCAGCTCACAGACGGTGGCTCCGAGGAGAGTTGTGCCCCTGTGTGTGATCAATATAATCTATTGCGAAAGAGAGCTTCGGTGGGGGAAAGAGATTTAGAAAGAAGCTCTTTAATTATTACCTGCAGAGAAGTTAAAGTGTAACCCCGTACTAACGTACTCCAGTGCCAGTTTGGGGTGCGGTGGGGGGCAAGTCAGGCATCTAGCCTGCCTGAAGTATGCATGGGAATAAAAAAATCAAATCCATTTTAAAAATAAAATTAATTTAACAGGGAAGGAAAATAAGCATTGACGAGGCAAAAGCATAGAGAAAATAAGTTAATCTTTCAGGTTGGTGACCTCTCTTTGTGCTTCACATGGGGGAGCCGCCGAACAGGCTCTGGAGCTTGTAGCACCCACGCATGAGCTTGTAGTCACCCCGCGCTGGTGTTTGTACCGCACCTCTCAAAGAGCCCAGATCTTCCCCCTTTCTGCCACGGCCTTTTCCTCGCACACGCTGCTCGGGGACACCGGTCATACTCCCCCCCCTTTGCCCGCCTTCCCCCTCCCGAAGCCGCCTCCGCCCGCGCAGCTTGAGCAGGGGCTGCGCGGGCGGCCGCGGCCCCTGGGAGGGAAGGCGGGCGGGTGCTTAACTTGCGCATCTCCTCGTCCCTTTCGAAGATCACATCCTTGCCCCCAAAAAAGGGGGAGGAGAGCCCTGAGGTTTCCAGGGTCATGCCGATACGGCAGTGTATGTGTAGGTATAAATTTTTGGTTGGGGTTTTTTTTTTTTCTTTTTAAAGGGAGTTTTGCTTCTTCGGCAGGTCAGCATGTTAATTAAAAGTTGGCCCAGTTCGGTCGCTTGCAGTCCCAGGTGCGCTATTAACACATAAGATTTTTTTTTTTTTTTTTAAGATATCAAAATGCAAAAACTCGGTAGAAAACCCATTTCCTCCTTACTATTAACTAGCAGTCTCACAGAGAAAATCATTAGAGATATAATTAAATATGGGTCTATTTTTGAAGAATGTCCTGCAAAATAGCCCCAAAATATGATGTAGTAATTTGATTTTTTTTTCCTTTGGCACTACAGGTGCTAGCTATATCTTCCGTCCATTTCCCACACCATGTATATTAAACAGGGAGGGAACATTGCTCCATTGTCGGTGATGACCCCAGACTTCGCCAGAATATTTTGCTCCTCGGTGCAAAATTGCGAAGTGAGTCTCTCTTTCAAAATCGCTATATTGGTTTTTATAATTACCTCATGGTCTAAACTTTTTCGTAGTCCATTTCCTAAAGGATGAAAAAGAAAATAATAAAAGGAAGAGAAAAAGAAAGGAACAAAGTTATCTGTATTAACATTTCTGTTTCTCTCATCCAGGCTGTCAATAACTTTCCCTGGATCGGGTCCTATGTTTCTATAGGCTCCCAGCTGAGGCGCGCGTCTGCCCCTGCCTGCCCGCCTGCCCTGCCTGCCCTGCCTGCAGCTTAGTCTGACACCGGCCCTCCGCAGGCCTTCGGTCGCTGCCGCTGAATCCCCCGCCCGGCCGATCCCCTCCGCGCACCGCCGCGCCCTCCCCGGGCTCCGGCCCTCGGTCCGCGGTAACGTGTCCCCCCGCGGCATCGCACCGGGAAGCTTGTGGTCCACACCCCGGAGTGGGATCTGTCAGATTCTGATGGAGAGCTAAATATCTCCTAATGTTATGTATTGTAGAAAAAAAAATAAGAAAAAATTTTAAAAGGAAGAAAACAAATAAGGAAAATATGCAGACTGCCCCTCATCCCCTTTCATTCCTAAGGTTTTATTCTTTCCTCCGGAGTATTTTCTCTACGGATGGTAAAACGTAGTTCACAGCTTGGCTTGGCTTGGCTTTGCTTTGCTTTGCTTTGCCTTGCCTTGCCCCCGGCCGAGGTTGACCTCCGCAGTCCCTCCGGGACAAGCAGCCTCGGCCAGAGCCCAGCGCCCAGCGGAGGAACCGGCGGAGCCCCCGCAGCCGCCGGCCCTGAGCCGATCCCAGAGCCCGGGCAGGCGCTGAGATTTAAACCCGGCCCGGTCTTACTGTTACCAGGAGCGCGTGGTTGTTGGGGTTTTTTTTCTCTTTCTCCTTTGTAAGATACGGAAGGTGAATAATGAAATCCCTTCGCTAATAGTTTATGAGCCATGAGATTGGAAATGTGCGCGGATGGACCAGCGCGCCGGGCTGAGCGTCACTCGGGGGGCTGCGGGAGCGCGGGGCGGGGAGGCGAGAGGCTGCCAGGGGCTGCCGGGGGCTGCCGAGGTGGCCGCTGCGGCAGCAGGAGCCACCACGGAGGCCGGGGTGCCGGGGCTGCCCGGGCGGCGGCGGCGGCGTGTCCGCGCCCGGGCACTGCCCCAGCAGGGCCGCGGGAAGGAGGGCGGCTCCGTACGAGGGGGCTCGGGGGGCCCCTGCCTGCACCCCCGGCCGCTGCCCGACACGGGCTCCTGCGCGTCCCCGCGGGCGGCACAAAGGCAGCGCGGGCCCTGCTCGACCTTTCGGGGGGCTCAGCGGCGGCCGCCCCCCCGGAGGAGAGTGGGGACGAGCGGGAAGCGACCTTTAGAACCAGTTTGGAGGGAACTGGGGGCGCGGCTCTGGCACTCGTGCCGAAAGCCCCTTTCCTCGGCGTTTCTGCGGCAGGTCACGTCCGCGTGGATGGGGCAGGAGCAGGCGGGAGCGGTGTCGCTGCCCCCCTGCCCTCCCGGTGCACGTCTTGGCGGCACTCGCGCCCCTACAGGAGCGGACATTTCCCATCAAACCAGTGCCACGGGATGTCCGAGGGCATCGCTACCTCCCTGCCATAAAAACAAACCACTCATCAGCTCCGCTCGGTGTGCCATCGAGAGAAGTCGCCGCGGCGCGAACGGGCACCATCTGTCCTGCCATTCCAGGAGACGCACATATATTTCTTTAGACAGGTCAGCAGTTCTTCCCGGCCAGCCCTGTCAGGCACCTGTCAGGGGAGAAAACCTCTTCATAGCTGCCGCGGTGGGATCCTTATCAGCGGCAGCCCCTCTGCTGACAGGGCCCGGCCTTAAGCTTCCCGCAAATCAATGTCCTCCGGGGACAGGGGACTGTCGTTACCGGGTGATGCCGAACGTGCTGGTACCGCTTAGCCCACCGACAAAAGATGGGGAGGGAGGCGGCGGGGGGAACCGGCTCCGAGGAGCCTGTAGGCTGCCCAAGAAGGCCAAGGTGGGCGCTGGAGCAGGGGGCTCCCCCCTGAGCCGTCGGACCGGCCCCGCCGGCGCTGCCGACCCACGAAGGGCCGGGGCACTGGGCACCCTCAAGGATGAGGCTCTCTGGGCTCCCACGCGTGCCCCGCGTGCGGGGGCTCCACTGCGCCAGGCGGGGAGGGCGGTGTGGGGGACCCGCACCGCGGAAACCCCACAGCAATGTGTTTCGTGGGGCTTTCTCTCGAGTGAGTCCATCGCTCCGTGGCTGACCCAAAGCCCCAGGCAAACACTTTGTCCCTACCAAAGTACCGCCCTCTCACCTCTCCCCCCTCGCTCCCCCCTCCCCCCCAATAACTCCGACCTGTTTTCTTTCTGTTCCTCACTTGCTTTCAAAGTGACGGCACGTTCAGGGGAGCCTGCCTGTCCGCCTTTTGCACTTCCACATGGTGTAGCGTGGACATCTCCCCCCCACCAAAAAAAGAAAAGAAAAAAACAACCAAAACAAAACAACAACAGACACCACTTCCCCCCCCCAAAAAAAAAAAAAGGCCGAAAACGCACCGTGTGTTTCCAACTTGGAGTTAAAGTCGGTGCTAATCCGGGTCAGTTCCTGCCCCTAGCTGGGAAGGCAGGGAGGAGGATGTAACGTATAGGTTGGCGGGGGGGGGGGGGGTCGTGGTAGTGGGAGGAACAAAAACAACCCCCGAAATAAACAAACAAACAAAAATCTCGCGCGCGATCACAATAAAGTGAAATTCCTTTCTACACACCCACAACTTTAGCTCTGTCTGCTGCCTGGGGGGTTTTAATCTTGCAAAGAGAAAGGGGGGCTCCCTGCGCAAAATTACGCCTTCTCCTCTCATTTGTTAGCTGATTCCATCAAAAAGTTCGCTATTTATAGGCTACACACACGAACCTGGAGTAATACAAACCCTCCCGTGTTGTTCCCCTCGCAAAGTGGCCGGTCCTGAAGCATCTGATCGGGTTTGTGTGTGTGTGCGCGAGTGAGAGCGAGCCACGCAGAGCGCGCTGCCATCCAAAAGGGGAAAGAAGAGCTCAAGCTGAGAGACTTATTAATTGCTAAGAGCTGCTCTGCCACCAGCCATGTGAGTACCTAACAATGATCACCTTTTGCACAGATGGTCAGCGATCAGGCACAGACACTTTCTGTCCTTTTCTTCCTCCCTCCCCTTCCTTATTTTTTTTATTCGCCTCCTGTATCCCTCCCACCCACCTTTCCTTTTTTTTTTTTCTTTTTTTCTCTCTTTACTTTGAGTTCGCACGGTTTATTCCTCACGAAGAGGAGGAATGAAACGTAGGCGAGCGCGGGGGAGAAAATGTGCCGAAGAAGAGGAAGGAAGGAAGGAGTGGTGAAGGGAGAGGAGGAGGGTTTGTTAAGCGATCGCCTTGTCCCCTGAGTCCGAGCCGGCTGGGAATTAGTAACAGCGAGATAACGGAGGTTGTATCCCTCCCTCTTCCTCCGCTTTTCTTTTCCTGGAGCGCTCAGACCCTCTGACAATTACTGCACTGGTATCAGCGCAGACAACGTATTTATCAAACCTCATTTGGGGGAATTGAAAGGGAATTACAAATAAATAAATAAACAGATAAATAAATAAAGAGAGAGAGCGCGGGGAGAAGGGGGTTTGATCGCTCCGCGTACAGCAATGACTGTCCGTCAGCTCCCAGCCCGCTGTGCAGGCAGGTAGAAAGCACCCGGAGAGCAGCCCGGTCCCGCGGGCTGAGCGTGCGATTTTGGGGAGAGTGGGAGCGTCCCGGCCCTTCGCCCCCGCCGCCCCTTCCCCGGCGAGGTGGCAGCGAGGTGCAAGGAAGGCGACAGGCAGCGCGTCCCCCCCCGCCCACGCCTCTGCTCCTTCCTTCCCCTGCGCGAGGTCTCGGCGGTTTCCAGGCAGTCCCAGCCCTCGGCGTGGCACAGTGCGTGAAATCAAGCCCCACGCAGCAGACAGGGCATGGCACGTGGGTAAGGAAATTGCAGTTGATTCGAGAGTGGGGAAAAATGAAATCTTTGCTAGGGAACGTGGCTCTCGGAAAGGTAGGTGTCCTGGTTTGTGCAGGAATGCAGGGCTGGAAGACTCCGCGTGGATAGGGGTTGGGGTGTGAACAGAGAAAGCGAATTTGTTTCCAACGTGGAGAGGCGCTTTTCTAACCCGACAGTCGAGCTCCAATCACACACTCTCAGGTTAGCGTAGCATTAAACTAGCAGGGTCGGGGTTATCCAGGGCAATTATACCGCGTGGCCGGGATGTAACCTCTGCTCATTTATACACAAAGCAGAGGGAGAGACGGAGTTACACCTGGAAAACCAAAGAGCACGGTGAGTATCGATATTCGCTCCCCTCCCTCCAATGCCTGTGAACAAAGTTCAAAGGCAGCCGGTGCGGGGCTGGGGCTGGCTCCGCCGGAGCACCCCCCCTTTGGAGGCAGCAGCGCAGCCTTTGGCGCCGGGACCCCCAGTGCAGCCCCTCTGGGGTGAGCCCTCTCCGAACAGCCAGGAGAACTTGCGGTATCTTGGTTAGAACTTTGCTACTTTACGTAGAGAGGGGAAAAAAAAAAAGAAGAGGGGAAAAAAAGTGACTTGGACGCAGCGCTATTTATAGGTGGCGGTAAAGGCTCCTTTTCAATAAGCTGCCGTGGAAAAGAAGCGTCAAAAAAACTGGCTGCTTTATTGATCCGAGGTGCTGGACGGTCACAGACATACTAGCCTTGCTGGACCTATAAAGTCGCGGCTTCTCTAGGGTTAGGCGGCGAGAAGGGGAATACAATCCGGGTTTCACTGACCACTAGCTTGGGCACGATTCAATTCTCAAGCACAGGTACAGGGCAAAAGGGTGGAAGACTTTTCCCTTTTCTTTCAGACACGCACACAATGCAGGGCACCCGCAGGGCTGAAAGTGGGCCAGGGCTACACGGTAGGTATCAGATCACACAAAGCAGAGGAAAGAAATCCAGTTAAAAATACATTAGTTGAAATCAGAGGACGAGCTTGATTATTTTTTTTTCTTTTAAACAAAGGTGCACGTTAGAACAAGCTGGAAGCACTCTTTGTGCCTGACGGTATCCCCCACGCCCATTGGAAAAAAAGCAAGAGGCTTGCTCTTTCTTTGCATCTTTTAAACCTTGTTTTAATTAGAATTGCCAAAGTAGGACACTCCGGTGGAAGATGTTTTCAAGTATCCACCTACCTCTCTGCTGTAAGCAGAATTACTCTCTGCTAAATTGCTTGAAACGCAAAATTCTGCCCCACCCCCAGCTTGGTTTGGCACCTACTCACCTTTCCCCCTCGAAATTGCAATCGTTTATGAAAAGTTACTCCATTGGGAGGAAAAGAGAAACCCTAAATACCCAGCAGTAATGAGATGAGTGGACTCCAAGAGCCTCACTTTGCTCTGTACAAGAGGAAAGGCTTCGGACGGAGAGCGTCCCTCAAAACTCATGCCCTTTTTTTTTTTTTTTGAAGTTCCAAATTGGGCGTATCCTTACCCTTCTCCTTTAATTTATTTGATTAAATCATAACCAAAACAGACTCATCAGCTTCTCCTATTTCCTCAGCTGTAACCATACGCGAAACCTTTTATATGGAGGCAGGTAATTGGCTTTAGTAAACTAAGGGCACAGGCTGCGCTCAAGTTTTCCTGCCGTTCCCAGGGCAGCATTTCACGCAAAACCGTGTTTCGGCTTTGCCTTACGCTCCTCAACCTCCAACCTAAAGTTTTTAAACTGTTTAAGCCATTCCCCGCCGTTCTCTGATTTCTCTAATGAGGGATGCTCACGGCAGGGTCTTGCGGGACGAGGGGGCTCTTCCCCCGCGGGGTTTAGGAGTGGCGGGGCCGGCTCAGGCCAGCCCGCTTTGAACTCGGAACCACTCCTGGACCGCGTCCCGCGAGCACCTGAATCGCACCTCGGTCCTGATCTCGCGGCTTGCTTCCGCTCCCAATTAAGGACTAGAGTAATTTCACCTTCAGGAAAGCGAGGTTCTGTTAGCTCACTTCTAGCTTAAAGTAAAAAGAAAGAAAGGTTAGAAAGAAAAAAAAAAAGGAAAAATCTCTGAAAGTTTCTCGGGTAAAGCTCGGATTCCCTTTGGTTATTACACAAAGGAAGAACCGCGTCAATTAACTCCAAATTGGAAATGCCTGCCCGAGAAGAATAATGATAATTCCCTGCCCTTCGCTAAGAGGTAGTTGCAGGATGGCACTTAGTGCGTGTGGTCCCTAATGACAGGGTTGCTGCTCTGCCCGGTGTTTGGCTTTCCCTGCCCCCCTGGCTTCGCTCCGAGCTCGGGCAGCGACTGTCCTGCCCAAACCTTCCCCCTCCCCGCCCGGAGCCACACGGGGTTTATACCTCCCACAGCCAACACAGTGTGATCACAGTATTAAAACAGAATTAATTACCCCTATGCCCCGATAAGAGGGCGGGGGCCTCATCGCAACAGGTAACGAGGGCACCTGCAGCTCTTCAAGGTTATTTAACTGATAATAGAAGAAGCAGGAGGCTTGCTAAAGGGTCGCACTCGGTAAGAGGGGGTGTGAGGGAAGCGGACTGTCAAAAAAGGGTGCTTAGTGATACTTAAGTAAAGTTAATAGTTGCTGTGAGGGGAACGGGATTCCGGCAGCGAAACGGGACGGCTTCTTCGCCTCGGTTTCTTGCTGGTTTCTGGTGGTCCACAGAAGCCCCACAAGCCGCCCCGCGGAGCGGCCGCGGCTTTGGGACCGCGACTGTGGGGCCGGGCACGTGTTGCACTCCCGGGGAGCGAGTCCCCCCAACTCTCCGCGGGGGATGCTGTCGGGGATGCTCGGGGCGCCCGGTGCGGGCCCTCGCTGGGGCAGGGTTGGACAGGGGGGAAGGCACTGCTGTTGCAGGGGGAGCGGGGCAGCCTCCCACCCGCTTATTTCATCGGTGAGGGCACGGCAGGAGCGGGCGCTTCGCGGTCGGGCACAAACCAGACCCCGAGCAAGCCCTCGCAGGGTTTGTGTGAGGCTCACAGGCCGGGTGGGGCGTCCACAGCCACCCCGGGGCTTTCCCCACTGAGCCGCCGCCGGGGCCGCTGCCGCCGGGGACTCCTTGGGGCGGGCAGGGCTGACCCTGGGGCGGCGGCGGGAGGGGAGGGTCTTCGGGCTGATCCGAAAGGGGGGAGCTCCCCGCTTCCCTCCCCTCCCTTCCCCTGCCCGGCTCTTTGTTCTTTGCCCCTTTGTTCTCCCTCTCGAAGTTTCCAGGGGTGTTGCCGACACGGAGCAAAGTTGCCGAAAGCTGAGGAATTACAATAAGTGGATGCCGGAGTAGGGAAAGAGGATGGGGATCCCTTCGCGGGGCTAAGAGCCGTTCCCCAAATCCTGTCGCTTTGTGTGGCTTGCCCAAGGGGTCGGTGCGTGGCGCCGGAGACGGGCCGCGGTCGTAGTGATGCTGAGGAGGAAGGGGGAGATGGGGCTCCCTTGGCCACACCACAGTCCTGGGGGATTGGTCACCCCCTTTCGCCATTTAAAAGCGTTCTGGGGGGGGCAAGTGTCTTTTCTGTCCTTTCTGATTGGAAAGGGAAGAAAATAAAAATAATCGGTGAACGTATCGTAATGAATTGAGGCGGTAGGTCGCAGTGATGAGGGATTTCTAAATGCTACATTTTAGGGCATATATAGGTTTGAGATGTACAACTCCAGAATGGATTCGGCTCCATCATTTTCTTCTCACTGATTTCTGTGCTTGCTTGACAGGGTTATGGTAAAGTGTTGTCAGGAGTTAAACAAGTTGGTGCTTAATTTCAAAGCAGATGGAATATCTTCACAGAGCAACATTGCAGCTTAAGAGACAGCTTTAGTGTGATTAATGGGAGATCACAGCATGGTTTGGTATTGACAATAATACCAAAACTTCCTTTGAAAAGGAAAACATCTTCATTCAGTACAATATGGTGTAGCCTTATCCTCTCTTTACTACTCATAATTACGTTAGAGAACTACGAGCTTATTTTACCTTGCATTAAGAAATCCCAAATAACTTCTCAAA